AATATTCGCCTCGATCATTACAGAGCCGCCATATTAATCACACGGCCGCATGTAATAATCACACAGCCGGCAGTAGTTCTTTTTCGTAAGGGAATATACCTGCAACAAGAAATAAAAATAGTTTTCTTATTATTATTAGTATTATTATTAAATATACTTTAAAATACATTTTTACAACACGAGCAAATTTTTTGTTAATATATATTTATTGAATTGATTATTATAGTCAATTCTTAATAAATATATACTAAATAAAGATAAAAATATGTATACACATTTATATATATCATTTTTAGTATTACACAGAGAGAATGGTTTCTTTCGATTTAACAAATTTTGTTAAATCCAAACAAATTATTTCATTGGAATAGTCCAAACAATCTTGATTTTGAACTAAACATTTCGATTGTTTGAATTTTAAACAAAGTATTTTGTTAAGTTAAATAAATCTACAACTTTAATTTAAAAAATTTTCGCGGCTTGTACTCTCACATGGCATCGAGATTTCACTCGAACTAATCTTTGGAGGCCCGATTCAGCTTGCCACTCAACCGATAAACTCAATTAAAAGAGACCGGATCTGAAAAACTCCTAAAGTGATAGCGGGATTCGTACTCGAGATTCTCCGTCGTATTCGCAGCCTGCACTCAGTCTGCAAGACCACTTGTTTCTTACTAACATGTAATTATTTTTATCTACTTATTTTCAAATTATCTTACACAATTCATTTTATTTCTTTAAATTATTATTTTATTAAAAATATTGCAGTGTAATATACTTGCAACAAGGGATAAAAATATTTCTCTTATTATTATAAATGTGCTAGTAATTTTTGTCACAGCTAAATCATTGAGTCAATGATTCATCATAGAGCTTCAGTACTTGTCTAGTAATTTATTCTGCAGCCGAATTACTGAGTGATTCATCATTCTGAGTCTGAGTAATAGATCACATAGTTCCATCACTCAGCAAGTAATTCATTACATTAGGGTTTCTCAGTGATTCTACAGTAATTAATTACACGGCTCAATTACTGGACCACTAATCAAGCACACATACTACAATTACTAAACTACTAAAAATTATTGATACAGTAGTATACTTAAAATACTAAAAATCACTGCAATTTAATAATTAAATTACTAAGCAACAATAATTAATCAGTGATGTCTCAGTAATATTGTTCTGTAAAGAAGCAAAACTTGTGAGTAATTGCTCGTAATGTGCTAATCAAAATGAAACATTCGCGCTTTTGCGTTTGGTCATCGTTATTTTCTATCTTCCATTATGTATATGATATAGTATATGCTGTTTGTTAGCTCCTCCCATACTGTTACTACGGATAACAATTGCGAGCACGCGAAGCGTATCGGGCTGTCTTACGCGTGTAAGACGGTCCGATGCATGGTTATTCGCGATTCTTTATTAATTAATTGTATAGATTTGTTAATTAAGGTTTGTTAATTAAGATCTCGATAACTATTGCAAATCTAGCAAAATAGAACTTTTCGACTTCTTCTATCTGCCTACAAGAGATTTTACACTTAATTGTTGGACACTCTGTATACACATATACGTACATACATACTATTTTCAGAGTAAACAGTTTATATCGAGAAACAATTGTATATCGAAAGTGGTACATTGTCACGTTATGGTTCAGAAAAAATTAAAAGATGTTATCTGATAATAAGATGCATAAAGACAACATTAAAATTGTTCAATATTTTATTTCAGTATTTAGTAGTCATTCGGTCTTGCGAGTTATATTTTTTGCGTATGCGACATGCGTTTTCTTTCTCCCAAAGTAATCTGACAATTTACGCACGATATTGCGCATTTTGTGAACTTTGGCACTGATTTCGAACGAGAAAATTTTGGAATTCTGCCAATGTAATATCTGATGTAACGTGAATTTAGAATAGGTAACTTCGATACATAGGCCACAACTATGAAAAACTTAATTTATCAAATAGTACTTATATACAAATAATAGTAATGTTAGACTAATGAATTATACTAATAAAAACTTTATACTGTCTACTATAAAAAAAAATTACACAAATACAAAATCTTTATTCATTATATCTTAAAAAGAACTTAAAAAAAACCTTACAATTTTGCTACATTACCTATAAGAGTGAATTATTTGGCCACGTATGGATGGAAATACGATTCATACAAAAATCTTAAACTGCGACACTTTTTTTCAATAACATTTTCTAATATTTACTTATATAAAACATTTTAATAATATGCATTACCATTATTAGTCATAAACAGGCAAGAGTGGCAAAAATATATGAGGAGAATACTGAAGTTAGCTCGCTGATAAAAGTTTAGTATTGCGCATGCCCGCACACAGTGCGCAAGTGTTGCAGTACGGGGGCATATATCCTACACGGTAAAATTATCTTAAACTGATAGGATATATAAGACAGCTAGCTGAATAAATGATACAAGAGTTACGTGTTGTAATTTGCAATATTTCATTCTTCATCACTCTTCTACACTTATATATCGCAAAATAACGGCTAAATGTTTTATAACTTTATAGTAATCATTTTATATATCTGTAAAATATGGTTGCGCTACTTATCATTCTGACGAATCGACTAAACTGACGATAGTTTTGGTAATAGTAACAATAAGAACTGAAATTATAACACAATACTAATTTAATATAAAGACATCTGATAAAATGCTTGCACGCAAATTATCTTCACTTCTTTGTTTTTACCTATGCTGTTCAAATCTTGGAGTTAACTTATATACTGGAAATAATCGCCGATCATTTGTTGACTGATCAGATCAGTCGTGGGCGTTGACAAATGAGATGGTTCGTCTGTGACCTTAACACGATTCTATTTTTTTCGTGGATGCATCGATTCAGAAGAGTGAGAGGGAGAAGTGACGCAATGTTCGCGTATATGCGGTGCGAAGCGGATATCAAAAGAAGAAGAGAATCTGTATGAAGAAGCAGAACCGTGCGAACCTCCATCGTGGCCGCATCATTGTCGCGTATTTCACCCTTGCACGCGCGCACGAAAATACAACATCAGAACTCAAGCGCGACTTCTCTCGATCGAATTAAAGCATCCAAACTTTTTTAAGAGTAGAAGTAGATTAGAAAGGATCTTCAAGATGGTTTACGAAAGCGACTTCTACACGACCCGGAGACCCTATTCGCGGCCGCTAGTGTCCTCATACAACGTCACGGTCAGTATATTCTGCGACTTTGAGTTTTTCTTTTTTTTTTGCGTCAAGAGAGAGCGGGCTGGAAGTATGTATAATAATATTTGCTATACGTGATACTACTAACACTAAAACACGAGAGAGAGCTCCGTTTATGATCAGGAAGTACTATTCCTGTCACTATATATTCACCCTTCGTCTGATCGCGCTGAATCGCGCTGACGTCTCACAGCGGCGTGGTTGATTTTTTGTTTAATCGGTGTAACGATGTTCTTTGTCTACACTATCATTTGTTTTTTCCGGAATTACGAATATTTGATAAGTTTTGCTTATTTGGTCTTTGACAATGGATTTATCAAATTTCATGATTTTTGATGACAAAGAGAACCATGCCTGAAAATGTTGAGGCATGGTATTTTTATGGTATAAGTGCGAAAAATCAGTTATCACTTCGAGCCGAAACAGCTCACTATAGGTAGCTAACAGTAACATTTATATCAATATTATAAGTTTTTACTCAACAATATTGTGCAATATAACATGGTACGTAGTAGTTACATTGAGTAAGAAGTTATAATATTATAATAATGTGTAACTGTTATTTTATGTTTATTGAGAGGTTAAATAATTAACTATCGACATCATTAATTCACGTAGGTAAATAATCGCGTAGAAATAATATATTTGATTTATTATATTTAACCTTTCGCAGACTCTAAAAACGACCTACTAGTTGAACAGACTGAGTCTGTAAAATCCACGCAACTTTAAACTCGAATATTTGCGTGAAAAATAAATATTTTTAAAATTTTTAAAATTTTTTAAATTTTATTTCTGCGTAAAAAAAACAAATTAAAACGACCTTTAGTAGTTTTGAAAATATACACGTTTTAAAAAACTGATTTTTACTAGAGATTTTTATATTGATTTGAAATTTTTGAGTGAGTCTAAGAGACTCATGTTTGTCCACGAAAGGTTAATTCGCGTCAAGTTCTTGGATTAAATTTCTTTTAAAAAAATATTCATTGTAAATTGATAAAAACTTTTTTTTTATTTTCTAAATCAACTTTCAGAATTTTATTAAAAAATATGTAAGTAAACAAATATAAATAATATTAATATAATATTTCATGATTCAACGTTTTTAATATTGCGTTAGAACCGAAAAAATAAGTTGCAAATAATAACGTTGATCCGCATTCGACCAGTCGCAATTTTATTACGGTCGCGACCGATATTCCGCTGAGACGTCGCAAAGCGCCTAAACTGAAAAAAATTTGGCACTTGATTCTATCCTTGATTCGTTGACGAGATTGATCGACAACAGAAAGCGAGCGATGCGATCAGAAAATATCTGGTACGTGTTATCGTTGATAAAGAACCGCGTTATACTTTCAAAAACTTTCTCAAGAAAAAAATCAACATCGTCGCTGCCGTTCGTCATTGAACTCGATATCACGATTCTTAGTCAATTGTCGACTTCCACACTTCACTCCGACCACTGTCTCACCACTTTTACTATTTATACTAGCACTTGACTATATTACCAAATTTATCAATTTGTATCACATCACTTACCATTGTTGCTCCTGTGCTCAAGGAATGTGCACTCGATGTCCCAAAGAAACAGCGAATCGGTTGAACTTACGGTCGAAAGAAAAGGATATAATAAGAATTTTAGAGAGCAAAAAGACTCTCCCGCAACAATATATGTAATATCTACAATATACACAACTTTTCACGGAGTTTACAGCTCCGGCGCGAAACAAGTTTAAATTGAAACATCACAACAGAGACCTAGACACAATATATGTTCTGTATATTCCTTTTTGTTATTTTATATATATACATATATGTACATATATATACATATATATATATACGCACAAAGCAATAAACTGGTAAATTAGCCCTTTTATCAGAACTTATGATTTACATATGTGTTTTTGTTGTTGTTTTATGTTTATATCGGCTATTCTTGACAAATTCAAGAAATGGCATTCAGCTGTTGTCTATAACTCTGTGACAGACTGAAAATTCTGCATGTGTGTGCGACATAGACTTGCAGCACATAATTTGTGTTAAATTACAATTCGATCTGTTTGTAGAATTATTGTTTGAGTTTTGTTATAAACCGCGCGAACAACATGTGTTTTTTTATAATAAACATTTATTACTTGCGAGTGAATGATACTTCGATGTGTTATCGCACGAATGTATGAAATCGCATTATTTAAAACTGACATAAATACGCGTTACATATTATTGCATTTAATAAATACGCGTACTATATATATATACGTAAAAAAAAATCTTGACATCACGCATAAATTTTCGATAGCTAAGAATAAGATTTGTATTTCTACGATATAAATTTCGAACATAATATCCTTTTGTAGAGATATTAAACTAAAATTTTTTGATGTATATTTTGAAGAATATTACCACTCGACTTGGATTGTCATTAATCAAGCTCATTTTTTCACTGGCAGATCTGATTGTAAGATTTGCTGTGTCGCAGAAGCGTCTGAGTTTAACATCGTTAATAAAGTTATCGTAAAATTATTTTTAAAACAATATCTGCAATACTATGAATAACTTTTATTTTGCGATTCTCTGTCTTTTGCGGTCAGATATACAATAAATTTGATTTTCTTATATTAAATGTATTATTACATATTATTTTGTAGTTTTTTTAGTGATATTTCAACGTGCGTATTGACATATGTTAATTGATATAAGTACTAATTGATTTCAAAATCCAAAATCCTAACTATCACAAAAAAAAAAACTTGTTTTATAGATAATCATTTGCAAAGATTATTAAGATGTTCGCTCGCTTTGCGTTTCCCGCGACTCGAGAGAGAATCGGTGTTGTGTTACTCTGCCCTAATTTAGACGCATCGCCGGCGCGACGCCGGCAACGCCCACCGCCGAATTTTGTTGACGCGAGGATTCATACGCGCCTGCTGACGTCAGAACACTCTTATACATTTATATATGGAGTTGTCGTCGTTCCCATATATCGCATATATGTATATCTTCGTGGAACATGTGTTGAAAAAGCCAATATCGAGAAAAGTAATTATCTTCCGAGATCCCTGATAAACGACAAATAATCCAATATATAAAAATCTTGATGTGAAAAATAATCTCAAGATAAAATCATAATCGTCTTTTGGGATTTTATACTACTATATTTCTAAGTATTTAATTTTTATGCAATTAAAAGTATAAGAAATAAATATAGAAATGTATTTTTGAAGCAAGAATGTTCTCAGTTCTCTTTGATACGTTAATTGTATTTTGTTGAATATATTATATATATATGTAACCGCGCGAAGCCCTCACACACACCAGGCGCGCATGGCTCACTGACGTGCGCCTGGCTAAAGGTCGGCGCTAATTGGCCTGATTTACTCAACAATTACTTCTTTGCTATAAATAATAGAAAAAAATGGTTCAGGACTTTTCTACTCAGTTTTACTTCTTCTACCTGCCTACGAGAGATGTCACACCAATTCTGGGACACTCTGTATATATATATATACATATTCACACCGAGATTTTCAGGATAATACGACGCTTGTGCTCATCACGTCGTGATGTTTTATTTTATGACGATATCTTTACAACCACACAGATTAGATATACACACACAAAATAATATAATACACACACACATTTTATATATACATATATACAGAGTATCCCAAATAAAATGTTACAAGTTGTTTTCTCAGAATCTAATAAAGATATTAACAAAAATTTTTTTTTAATTAAATGGTTCAGTGGGATTAATCTTCTAGTGTGTAACAGATTTTTTTGGAAGCAAATGCTATAAGAGAAAGAGGGCCGCTCAACATTTTTTTAAATGGAAAGTGGTATTAATTTTTTGTTATTAATAGCTGCCATCAACTAAATAACACTTACTTGAACCATTGTTTTTATTGTGCATAGTTGCGGAGGTATCGCGAAAAATTTGTTGCATTGAGAAACATTGATCGAGATGATCCTATAAAGTGGCCACCTTGATCACCAGATTTAATCTCTTAGATTTCTTTTTATAGAGTTACACTAAGTAATGGCAACTGTTCCTACAACTGCGGAAAACATGAAAATAAAAATACGTACTGCGTGTGCATCGATTACTCCTTGAATATTGTCAAATGTTCGAGAGAGTATTTGTAAAAGACTTAATAAGTACTTGAAAGTCTAAGGACATTATTTTGAATAAAATATTTAATAAAATAAAAATACTAACGATTTTTCGTTTTTTTCTCCTTTTTTTGCTTTCCCAATGTTTCTCATTGCAACACATTTTTCGCGATACTTCTGCAATTGGTATTCTAAATAAAGTGTTACAAGCTGTTTTTTTAGAATCAAATAAAAATATCAACAAAAAAATATATATACATATTTCGAGTCTTATATATATGTATATGTATATAAATATATGTACACATAAAATCGTATATACATATATATACGTATATATATGCATATATACATATATGTATACATATATATGTACTAATTTAAATTACCTAATTATATTATTCTCAATGTGTGACAGAAAAAGCTTTGGTAACATAGAAAACGAAATAAAAACTAGTTCCGACATATTTTCTATTTAAAAAAAAGATAATTATATGTACATATATACAAGGTGTTGTAGTGAGTTTATACGTATGAAAATCGCTATATCTTTTGAATAACTGATTATATTGTCACCAAACTTTGCAGGAACATTACTCTTGAAATGACATTTTTTTCTTACAAGGTTATTCAAGGTCATTTTGTTTTTTGCTGATTTTGTAATTATGACAAACTTGCAAGATCATTTGAAGGTTATGTTGAGTCTTGCAAAGTATTTTGGGTCTAATGAGTTATTTCTGATGTTTTAAAACTTTTTTATTGCTAAAAATTTACGGCAAGCAGAAAATTTATTGTAGAACAATTTTTGTGATGTTTTCAAATTTCCTGTTTGCCGTGAATTTTCCACGATGAAAAATTTTTGAGACATCCAAACTAATTCATTGAGTTCAAGAGACTTTGTAAGACTCAGTATAACCTTCAAATGACCTTCAAAGTTTGTTATAATTTTACTGATAAAATCAGTAAAAAACAAAATAACCTTGAATGACTTGAAACCTTGAAACTTGTAAGAAAAAATGTCATCCCAAGAGTAATGTTTCTGCAAAGTTTGACAATCTGATCAGTTATTCAAAAGATATAGCGATTTTTGAGCGTACAAATTTGCTAAAACACCTTGTATATAAAAGAGATTAGAAATAGTGATTAATTTCAATCTAAAATTTTACTTAACAGTAAAGATTTATATACATATATATAACAGTAAAAATTTATACAGAGTATCCAACAATTACTTTAACATTTCTTCAGATTTATATACATATATATAACGGTAAAAATTTATACAGAGTATCTGACAATTACTTTAACATTTCTCGTAAGTAGGAAGAAGAAGTAAAGCTGTTGAAAAATCCTATATCATTTTAACACAATTCGTAATAGTTACCGAGATATTAATTCACAAATATTCACGAACAAGCATGCATCGGGCTGTTTTATGTTAAAATTTTGTAAAACTTCTAAATTACAAAAAAATTATAAATTTTTAAACAAAAAGTTTAAAAATTTATTTTAATTTTATTTCGAAGAAACACTTATCAGGATTCTTTTTAAACGTTTATATCTTTGAAACTACTGGAAATTTTGTAAATCTGGTTTTTTATCTATGAAGAATTGTTCAAACTTTCGATTATAAAAAACATTAGAAAAATATTGATTTTTTGTGGAGATATTCGATCTTAAAGTTGCGTGGGATCTTACAGATCTAATCTAGACAAGTCGTAGATCAATTTTTAGGTCTGGCCTTAAAAGGTTAAATAATAATATTTTTTTGTTGTGCAAAAATAAATAAGCGTAAATAGTGTTTTACTCTTCTTATCGTTATCTACTTCAAAACAAATATGATGTACGGTGTTACAAACATGTATTTATTAAAGATGGCAGTACAAATGGGGCATCTTTTGTTTATTTCACACGAAGTCGAAGTATTGAATACATTACTTTAACATCTCTTGTAGACAAGTAAAAGTGAGTAATTAAAACTGAGTCGAAAAGTCCTATATTTTGCGAGATTTGCAATAGTTACCAAGATTTTAATTAACAAAGATCCTCGAATAAGCATGCATCAGTTTTACGTGCATAAGACAGCCCGGCGCGCATCGTGCGATTACTTTTTATTATGTATATGTTGTAGTATATGCTGTTATATTAGTTCCTTCCATACGTTGCTACAGGTAACACCGCGAAGCGCGCCGGGCTGTCTTACGCACGTAAAATAGCCTGATGCATACTTATTCGCGGATCTTTGTTAATTAAGATCTTAGTAACTATTGCGAATCTCGCAAAATGGTATAGGACTTTTTGACTCAGTTTTAATTCTTTTGTCTACGAGAAATGTTAAAGTAATGTATTCAATACTTCGACTTCGTGTGAAATAAACAAAAGATGTACCATCTGTACTGCCATCTTTAATAAATACATGTTTGTAACACCGTACATCATATTTGTTTTGAAGTAGATAACGATAAGAAGAGTAAAACACTATTTACACTTATTTATTTTTGCACAACAAAAAAACACTATTATTTAACCCTTTAAGGCCAGACCTAAAAATTGATCTACGACTTGTCTAGATTAGATCTGTAAGATGCCACGCAACTTTAAGATCGAATATCTCCGCAAAAAATCAATATTTTTCTAATGTTTTTTATAATCAAAAGTTTGAACAATTTTCCATAGATAAAAAAACAGATTTACAAAATTTTCAGTAGTTTCAAAGATATAAACGTTTAAAAATAATCCTGACAAGTGTTTTTTCGAAAAAAGTTTAAAAAAGGTTAAAATTGTTGTTTCGGGTCGTTATTACCGAGACTGTGGTGTTGCTTGTTATTGACGGCGATGCACGACTGATGGACTGAGTTCTTCCTATACCTTTCTTACACTGAAGAAGACCCAAATTAGAGGTCAAAATGTTTTTTTTTGTCAAAATTTTTTCGAAAGAAGCTTATTGACCCAAAGATCTGGTTATTGCTTCGAATTGGCCACTTCCCTTCCATTATAAGTTTAAAATGAATGTTTAAACTTTTTGTTTAAAAGTTCATAATGTTTTTGTAATTAAGAATTATTATAAAATTCCAATGCAGTTTTGTAGAAAATCGTTCTTTCAGGGACAAAAGTGTCTTTTAAAAATTGTAAAATTAAAACATTTCCACAATAAATATTTTGAGACGTTTTTTGAAGAATGCATTTTTCTTGCGTTCCACTTTGACATGCAATATTTTAGCAATAAATCAATATATAGACATAATTTTTTTAAATAGAAAATTTAAATGATGTTTAAACTTTAAGAAATCTTTATCAATGTTCTGGGTTAATATAAAAAAAACAAATTGAAAAAATCTCTGGTAGTTTAAAAAAAAACTTTGGAAACGTTTGTGCGCGCCATAATTTAATAAATCGCTATAAATGTATATATATTTTGATAACATTTTGAAAAAAAACATCAATTATTTAGTATATTAGAATTGCTCAAACTAAAAAAAAAATACTTACCTTTTGAAATGCCAGTGTCTTGTCCAGACCTTAGACACACACTTTTTGCATTTCAAAATTCAAACTTCACAAAACTTAAACAAATGACACTGTCAACAACCTCTATCATTGTCTAAGGCCCTAAAGGTTTTTTTATGGCCTTCAGATTGTCAAGCTAAATTATTACCTAATAGAGACACCGGTTTAAAACTTTTGAATAAGTCTGGAAAACTCACATCTGGACTTAAAAGGTTAATTTTTGTTCAAGATGTAAGCATATCTGATTCTTTATACTTTTTTATTAAAATTTTTGAAAAAAATTGAGTGCAAAGGTTTTTAGAATAAAACTGGGTAAATGTACAGAATAGGGGAGCCCCCTCCGATCGGCTTCTCGTTTTGATATATTGTAAATATGACCTTCCTGAGTACGTTTCTAAAAGTTTTAGCCGTCGCTCATTGTTTATAAAAAA